CCCTACAAAAGACAGATAGGGGTGGGGAGGGAAATATATGGATTGTAGGTGGCGGAAGTGACGGAGAATGATACTTTGGATACAGAGGTTGGTGAGGTGATACGTGAGGATAAGGGGAATTCTGTCTTTGTTTTTGTTGGGGAGAGGGGATGTGAGGGCAGAAGTGCAGTTGTCGGTTTCAAGGTAGTCACCAGAGATGGAGACAGAGAGGTCCAGGAAGGAGAGGGAGGTATCAGAGATGGTCCAGGTGAACATGAGGTTGGGGTGAAAGGTGTTAGTAAAGTTGATGAACTGTTCAAGCTCCTCGTGGAATGCCGATACAACAGAAACAGACTGCATGTTTGCTGCTTAGCAGTCCTTATTCTAGGGGTGCATATCTTGCTGCATAGCAGTCTGCCATGTCAATTTTGTACCTGCTCCATCTGCCAGTAGCTTACATTGCACTTGCAGCAGCAGGCAGCCTTGTAACCAACTCAAAGGGGTCTAGTCATCAATGAAATCCTTGGAAGCACCCCTAGACTAGAGCTCTCTGATGCACTAACTCAAGAGCAGCCTCCCATACCTGTCATGGGTATCGGTCACAGCCAGGCATCCAGTTGAAGCAGTCTCGGTCAGGGGAACCATGAAACTGCAGTCCAAATGGAAATAAAATTGATAATTTTTCTAATTCTGCATAAGAGAGGGTATTTCATTTTTGGGGATAGTCTGGCCACTAATATCTACTACAAGGTAGTCAAACAGGAGGCTTGAAGAACACAACAAGCCAGGCAGCTTCTAGAGGAAAGGAGAAGTCAATGTTTCAGGTATTACCTTTGTTCAGGACTGGATGTGGAGGGATGACTCTGGTTGGTGGCTGGAAGGGAGGGTCAGAAGGTGGAATGGAAGGAAGGAGGTGGGGCTGGAAAGGGAACCGGGGGACAGGAGGGAAGGTTATTTGAAATTGGAAAACTCAATGTTGAGTCCTCCGGGACGTAGGGTGCCCAGGGTTGCCATGGGCACTTGCATGGACCCCAGCTACGCCTGCCTGTTTGTTGGTTATGTTGAACAGTTCCTCTTTAGTATGTACACCGGTACTGTTCCCCAATTCTTCCACCGTTACATCGATGACTGCATCTGTGCTTATCCTGCACCCAGGCTGAACTGGAGCAGTTCATCACCTTCCCTAACAACTTCCTTCCCACCCTCAAATTCACTTCGTCCATCTCAGATGCCTCCCTCTCCATTCTTGACCTCTTAGTTTCCATTTCTGGCGACAGTTTACGGACCGACATTTACTATAAACTCCCATTGATACCTAAACTACACCTCTTCCCACCTGAATCCTGCAAAATCTCCATCCCATTTACCGAATTCCTCCGTCTCCGTCGCATCAGCTCTGACAAGGAGACATTCCACTCCCAAGCATCCCGGGTGTCTGCCTTTTACAAACAACATTCATTTCCCCCTTTTGTCACCCAGACACCTCTCCACTGCGGCTCCTCCATTCCCCACTCCACAGCTCTTAGTCAACCCTCCTCCACAGACTCCAATTCGACCCCACCACCTGGAACATCTTCCACTCCCCACCCCTCTCTGCCTTCTGCAAGGACCATTTCCTTTCACCACTCCTTAGTTCACGCCACACTCCCAACCAACCACTCCAACCTGCCTGGTACCTTCTCCTGTAATTGTAAAAGATGCAATACCTGCCCACACACCACCTCCCTCACCTCCATCCAGGGCCGTAAACAGTCCTTCCAGGTGAGACAGAGCTTCACCTGCATCTCCTCCAACCTAGTCTATTGCATCAGGTGCTCCCAATGTGGTTTTCTCTACATTGGTGACATCAAACGTAGACTAGGTGACCGTTTCATCGAGCATCTTTGCCTGGCCTGTAACGGCCAACCTAACCTCTCAGTCACCGCCCGTTTCAACTTCCCCCCTACTCCCCCTCTGACATGTCTGTCCTCGTCCTCCTCCAGTGTCGCAGCAAGTCAGAACACAAATTTGAAGAACAACACCTTATCTTCCGCGTGGGCACCTACAGTCCAGAGGACTCCGCATTGAGTTCTCCAATTTCAAATAAACATTCTACCCATCCCCCAGCTCCCTTCCCAGCTCCACCTCCTTCCTTCCATTCCACCTTCTGACCCTCCCTTCCAGCCACCAACCGGATTCATCCCTCCCATTGACCAATCAGGTTGTACCTACTACCAGTGTCCATCTATCACTACCATTCTGCTACCCACCCCCCCCACCTCTTTATTTGCAGCTCCCCCTAGCCCCACATCCAGTTCTAAAGAAGGGTAATTCCCGAAATCTTGACTTCTCCTTTCCTCCAAATGCTGCCTGGCTTGCTGTGTTCTTCCAGCCTCCTGTTTGTCTACCTTGGATTCTAGCATCTGCAGTATTTTTGTCTCTAGTATCTACTACAAACCCACTGACTCCCACAGTTACCTCAATTACACATTCCCTGTTCCCGTAAAGACCCTGTTCTATTCTCACTGCCTGTGCTTCCCGACTGCACTGCCAATGCATAGCAGAAGTACCAGATCTGTTCTGATGGCAATTGGAAGTTCTTGTCCTGTGAAAGGGTAGATGTGGAGAAGAGTTTGCAACTTGCAGCCTCCCCAGCCCTTCTGAATCACCCGGATTCCCCTCTCTCCGGAAGGTCTTTCTCTTGAGCATCTTATGGTACCAATGGTGCCAACTTCAACAAGGGAGCTTCTGAAGCATCCACCTTCTTCCTCAACCAAGGATTCCCCAGCACCGTGATTGATAGGGCCCTCAGTCGCGTCCAACTCATCTCCCACATTTCTGCCCTCACTCCTCTTCCCTCCCACAACAGCGGTAGGAACCCCTTGTCCTCAATTACCATTGCTACAGCTTCCACATCCAAAAGAGCATCAGCTACCATTTCCATCACCTTCAGCGTGATGCCACCATTCCTCCCTTGTCAGCCTTGTACAGGGACAGGTCCCTGATCCATTCCTCCTCCATTTTCAACACGTCCCCAGAGCCCCATGCAACCGCAGAAAGTGTGACAGCTGCCCATTTACTTCCTCTCTCCTCAGTATCCAAGGGCCCAAACACACCTTCCAGGTGAAGCAGCGCTTTACCTGCACTTCACTCAATCTAGTCTACTGCATTCGCTCCTCACAATGTGGTCTCCTCTACATTGGGGAAACGAAGCGCAGACTGGGTGACCACTTTGCAGAAAACCTACATGCTGACTGCAAAAATGACCCTGAGCTTCCGGTTGCCTGCCACTTTAACACACCACTGTGTTCCCTGGCCAATATCTCTGTCTCGGGCTTACTACGGTGCTCCAGAAAAGTTCAGTGCAGACTGAAAGAACAAACCTCATTTTCCACTTGGAAACTCTGCAATCTTCTGGACTCAATATCAAGTTCAATAATTTTAGGGCTTGAACACCTTTTCACAAATCCTTACCCCAACCCCCACATACCAGGCCTTGTCATCACA